CTGGTGTGAGTAGATGGCCTTTCTATACGCACCAAACCCTTGCGCGCTTCCTGCTTTCTAAGCCCACATGTGCTTTTGGGAACGTTAGTGCAGCTACAGCTGCAGAGTAACATCCCTGCGCTCAGCTTTCTGGTGCAGCTGAGCAGAGATTTCCCGTGGGAAGTAGCAAGTGCAGTTGGAGATGCTTTCTCCAGGCTTTCTCCTGGCAGTAGGGCCTGCCCAGCCCTTCCGTCTGGAATTTATGCAGAGATAAGGGCTTTTATTCACACACTGTCTGGCAGAAACCCCACGGTCCAGCCAGCCAGCCAGCCCGCTCCGCTGTTCTATTCCCAATGCGAGGGTGGCACTGTGTATCTCCAGAAGAGGGAGCGAGCGCTTCATCCTGTTCTCCAAGCATTTGCACAGCTTTAAACAGAACAGAGAAAATCAAGAGCTGCTTTCTTTTCATATTCACCAGAATAGCCACTCCTTCTTTCCCTGGACCCTTCACACGTTCAAAGCAACAGCCACACTTGTGATTTGTATCGGGAGTCAAAGTGAAAATGGAGCCTTTTTTTTTCCTAAGCAGCACCTGTGGTATTAACCCAGGCCTGAGCATTTCCCTGATACTTGCCTGGCCACCAAAGAAGACAAGAGGCTGGGATGAAGGCTAGGGGAAGCCAAGCAGATCGGTGGAAATACAGACCACACAACTCCAAGTGCTCCTGACAGGAATAGGTGGTGGTGCACATCTGTATTCATACTGCTTGGGTCCAGGCAGGGATGTGTTTGAACTCACCCAAACCTCAAAGCTGGTCTTGGAGTTCCACAGACACGTAACAATCAGAGCAGAGCACACTATGCTTTTCTGGATGCTATATAATGCCTGGTGAAGATCTGAGAAGCACCTCAGCCATTCAAGTGGGCATAAAGGTGTGAGGAATTGGTATGAGGTGCCAGCCTGGACCACTGGGCACAAAGAGAGTGGTCAGTGGCTCAAAGTCTACCTGGAGGCTGGCTCAAACTTCTGCTCCTCAGCCTTGGCACCGAGTACAGAAACCAGGGCAGCCTCAGCACCCACGTGGTGGCTCAGAGGGAGAAGCCAGAGTCCAGACATATGGTCATGATGCCCACAGGAGGACTCCCAGCTCCAGGACTGGAGAAAGCCATCATACATCACTCAAGCAAGGAACGTTTGAATTGTCCAAGGGCTCAAATGAGCAACAACAGTGGTACTGCATAGGTGTGGCTCCTGTTTGAGATGCTAGTGGCATATGAGATGTTGGAGATTTTTTGTACTACCTTCAGCTGCAGCACAATGACAACAGACATCCTCAGCGAAGGCAATGAAGTCTAAATGGGCAGGGAAAAGAGTCCACAGGAGGAAAAACTGAGCATGAGTTCAACAAGGGGCAACTGAGAGGAACTGAAGTGGCCACAGATACAGTCCCTTCTGCATGCCACATAGTCACAGGGGAAAAGAGACGAGAGGGATCCTCTCCTTCCTGCAGAGCATAGGAATGCCCAGTGCAGGGATGTGCAGGTGGACTCGCATCCAACCACCAGCTTCTTTCAGCTCCTTCAGCTGTGACAGCTTCCTTGAGAACAAATCTCGGAATGCAAAGAAGGCAAGTTGCAGTACAAAACGAATAGCATCCTAGAGCAGCTTTGATGCTTGTAAAAAGGAGCTGTAAGGAGAGGAGCCGGGTCCCCCAGCATCTGCCCAGCAGGGAAAGACCCCCCCTGGTGTGTGGTCGGATTTTGTCTTCTACCTGGAGATCACCAAATCAGGGATCTTGGATTTTGGCTGAAGAATGGGTACAGCAGGTGGTCCAAAATATCTCAAGTATTGTTCTGGCAACAGTAACCTTCCAGAAAAAGCTTCATGTGGTGGAAACACTGAATTTATACAGATTGATGGACTTCAACCACCACTACAGCAAGACTTTCTTCAGCTGTGTTATCTGCCTTTCCTTCTCTTGACAAAAATCTCACCCTCCACGTGAAGAGACAATACAAGAGCCGGTGCCAGGTTACTCCCCCCATTGATAAGAAAACTTCTGGTCCTGAGCAGTGACATGACCAATGATCCCTGACAGTACGCTCCATTTCAACCCGTCACTGAATTGGGCATTCCCAGGGTGGTCCCATCAAGCCAGTTTGAGCACTACAGGCCCCTCTCCCCCGACACTGCCTTCTTTCCCAGTGAGGCTGCTGGGGTCCAGTTCTGCCTATGGGCCTGGAGAATCTCCAGGCCTGCTGTGGAGAGACGCTTGTCTCAGCACCAGGAAGCTTGGCAGTAGGAACTACCCAGAACTCTTAGATCATCTGGACTTCGCAGATGTTGACTGCTCTTGCAAAAATAAAGAAGCCTGCAAGGCTGTGAGCATCGGCTGCCCTCTCCCCAGAGTGTGGGCACAGCCACCTGCCCTCCTCGCAGGGACGAGGTGTCCTGAGGCACCAGAACTTCCCTGTGCAGCAAACACAGCTCACCTGAGGGGCACCCCATTAGCACAGAGGGCTCGGCAGTCTTACAGAGGAAGAAAATATGTCCAGGTCTCCCCACACTTTTTGGTTTTCAAATTAGCATAAGCAATTTCAAAGGCTGCTTTTCTTCTGCACAGCTGCCTCCACCTGGAGGAAGTGCCTGGAAGCCAGGTATTTCAACAGCTGTTAATGAATCTTCCCATTCCTGTCTGACCTTACAAAATGAAAATAACAAGGTCACAGTCGCACCCTTTTATTACAATGGACCTGCAGGCAAAAGAATAGAACTATTACAGAAACACTCTGATCCATGTTTTAAATAGAGGAAGAAATCAAACTAGGATACCGGATAAAATATTCTGAAGCTCTTTGAAGCAGTTATGTTCCTGAGCTCCATTTTACACACAATAAGGCAACATCCTTGCACATGAGCTTTTTGATAATTTTTATACATTTTTCTATGATACAAGAAAAAAAAAAAAAAGAGTTCACAATGTACAGTTCTTAAACTATTTTCACAGCTTCTGAACACTATACACATTTTTTTCTTTTTAATAAAGATACATTGTAATAAATGGTGCACACTTAATAATTTATAATAATCTATGTTTAATATGCTAAACCTGTCCTCCTGTACAGCCATGCATGCTGTGGGGTGCACCTCAACCCTGACTGTGTCACTGCCAGCTCAAAACTTCACGTTTCCATTTCCCATCTGTCGAAAGCAAACTGGTTGCGCTGCTGAACACAAGCCCTGGATGGGGTCGCCAGTGGAGAACGGACCCCAACTGTGCCCTGCACAGCAAGGCAGCCACTTGCATTGGAGGGAAACTGCTGTGTGCGAGGATCCACCTCAGTGTCAGCCCTCAGAAAGGTTTTTGGCTCCCTATCACTGGTGAAATGTGAATCAGACTTTAACGTTGGAAAGGTGGAGGCAGAGGCAGAGCACATCTGCATGCATCTATCTTTACTGCATCTGTGTCTCTTCAGTACCCCCAGCCAGGACCTTGTGAGACCTGGTGTCCCTGAGGTCCTGTTATGGGTGGCTGCAGGCTGGTGAGATGATTCACAGCTGTGGGGATTTGCCAAGCCTGAGAAAAGCCAAATTTTCTGAGGTACAGGGATGGAGAGAGAATTACCACTTCAGATATGCTACGGATCTTGTTCAACTGATCCTTCCACATGATTAATCAGAGCTGTTGGGAATGACTAGTTACTTCAGGAAGCTCTGCCTTGTCCATTTTGGGAAGACTCTAGTGACTGCCTCGCCTGACGAGCAGCCCCAGAGGAACCGAATCCAGGGAGGGCAGGAGGACTGCACCTCCCTGCCCAGCCAGACACACTGCACCCCAAGGGGTCACATCACTGTCAGCCTCAGTGCCAGAGGGCCCAGCTCTGACAGCTGAGCGGGAGATGCACAGTGCTGCAAGCCTCACGCAAGGGATCACCTCTGCAGCTGGAGAAACACCACGTGTCTACACAAGCAAGGCCTCAACTCTTGCCTTTCCCAAGCGAGCAGCTGGGGAGGGATGTGCTGGTCTGCAGTGCTCCCGCATCAGCCCAGTTTGTATTTGGCAGCACTGGTTTGACATGGGAAGCCCCTTCCTTGGGAATCCTGCCAGTACCACTGTGCTTTCACTCCCACTGCACCTCTAGGTATGGTTGGACTTGATGATCTCAAATGCATTTTCCAACCAGGCAATTCTATGATTCTAGCCCTCTGTATCCTGGGTCCAGTTTTGCTGCAGATCTTTGAGAGCAGGCTGCTCTAACATCGATGAAGTCCTACCAAGTGTCTAAACTAGGCAAACCAAAATGGCAATCAGAGACCCTACAGGCTCCATTTTACCCCCACTATGCTACTAAATGCCTGAAAATTGCAATATTTTGGGGGTGGGAGGTGGGGAAGTTTTCAGGAAAAATTAATCTTTGAAAAATATGCCAATGTAAATAAAAAGCCAACCAAAACCTGATGTGCTTTTTTGCTCAGCCATGGGCCAGAAGATGGCAGCTTGCCTGGCCTTGCTGCATCAGCTGAAAGCACACAAGGCGTTAAGACATTCCCTCATCTCTGCCTCATCCCTATCTGCACCAAACACTCAATGAGGTTCACTCTAAGGTGCAGTAACAAGAGCCATGGAGGTCACAAAAGAGGTTAAATATGCCCAGAAGGTGGTGAAGAAGGTCTCCAGCAAGCTAAGCACAGCGTGACATTTGCAGCAGTGAGGTGGGCACAGAGCCCCTTGTGGTGGGGGGACACCACGTCCATCCTGCTTGCAGTGGTGAGAAGGAAGCGCTGAGGGTCACTCTTGTGAGGGACACTGGGCTGGGCGGCGGCAGTGCTGCCGGGCTGGTCTCAGGGTCAGTGAAAAGGCACTAGCATCGGGGCTGAACATGAGAATCGGCATTGGCTAGAAATTGCAGACGGTTTGTGGCTCATTAAAACAGCTGCAGACTTAGAGCACTTGTTGAAGTCAAAAGCAAAGCCAGCTGGTGGTGAGCACTGTGCAGCTATAAATCAGGTCACAAGCAGGTTAAATTCAATCGAGTAGTTTAATAATTCTTCAGGTCAAAGGTCTTATCTTACCAGGTAACAATTTACAGGACACCTAGTTAAGAGTGAAGAGTGGCTGGCTTGGTAAAAGGAGAAAGAATACATTACGTCCCATCTCTGAATATTTTAATATCAGCCTTGTTCAATGCAACGTATTTTGGGTAAAGACATATTCACTATATTTAACATGATCTCTCTTTAGCAGGAAGTTCAGCTGAGCACTCTGTCCTCAGAAAGTACACTGTGACTGTAAAGCAACAGAATTTCATAGCAGTACATCTATTGCACTTTGTGAAGAATAAAATTCTCCTTTGCCTTCATAGCTCCAGGAGGCAAAGCATCTCATCCGTTAAGCAAGTTCTTCTCCCTCCAGGCAAAATCTCTTAATGTTCAGACAGACAACGCCTAACTTTTGTTTGTTTGCTTTTTTATTATTACTTGAAACAACAATTGGAAGAGTTTGAAAGAAAAATATTTCCAGTAGCTGCGGAGAAGTCTCCAAATTTTGAGCCTAGAAATGAATTTTAGGTGCTATCCAATCACGGTCAACAAATAAATGTACTTATTTCCACATTTCATGAATATGTCCACAAAAGAGCAAGATGAGGTCTCTCTTTGACCAACACTAACACTGTGTGATCAGGTATTACAGGGATGCACTTTATATGTGACAACAGTATACAGACAGGATGGAAATAACACCAATATTATTGCACATGGTGTCTGGGCGAGCATTAAAAACACTGCAATATGTGATGAAAATTCTTTACAGCTTCTTTTTCTCTCAGCCCTTTTTTTCTAGAGTTTGATGTAGCAGCATTATCAATCAACGTACATTGGAGAGCTGGGAGTTGCTGGCATTTGATCCAGGATTTTACAAACATAGCATGCAACATCCACTGTGCGTTCCTCATACATCAGGATGAAGGGATGTTTCTGGAATCAGACAAAAAACCAACAAGGTTACGTTCTCCCTTCTGACACATGCTGGCTACCCCAGATAAAAGCTTAGCATATGGATTTGCCTGATGCAAGAACGTAGAGCTTGGTGGTGGCCACAGGACAACACAAAATATCCCTATCCATGGCTTTTACATACAGGGAATCCGTATCTGAAATGTGCAGTATGGAGCTGGGACAGGATTCCCAGAGTGTCAGGAACTGCTGGGCAGGAGGTGGCGAGGTGCAGTATTAGCAGCACCTAGCTCCTTTGTAGCATGGATAGGTACTGAAATACTTTCAAGAGAGGTTTTAGTCATCATCCTTGTCAGCAATGGGGAGACAGGAGTGACATGGAGACAGGACTTGTGGAGGTCAAATAGCAGATCAGGACTCAAACCCGGTTCTCCTGAACCCTGACTGTCTGCACTGCCCAGGAGGCCATACCGGCCAGATCCACCTCAGAGCCACTGGAAAGTAACGGCACAATGACTCTCTGGGACAAGACACCAGGCAAATTCCTTTTGTATCACACACACCACCACCATCAGGGACCCAGAGCATGGTTTCATACATCCTCTGGAGAGGTGGCTTCTAGATGTCCAGAGCTCCCTGAAAGTGCATGGTTGCCAAGTGTGACTTATCCAACCCAAAAGCATCGCTGCATTCTCTCCTTTAGGACCCCCCCACCATAGACAGGTTCTGCTGGTGTCTTACTCCAGAGCCGTGCTCTTTCAGGTCTCATTTTTTGCCTAAGCACTGCCAACCTCGTTGTGTGGCCTGTGCACTGGAGGCATTTACATGTGACAGTCCTGGCCAGCACTTCCAGAGGGCTCCTGCATGGCACCAGGAGCTCAAGCAAAGGCAGCATTTACATGGCACACCCAGCATGCTTCCGCCCCAGCTTGCCCACTTCAGGGATCACGGAGCTGCAGCAACAAGGCATTTCCCTTCATGCTGATCTCCTCTGTTTATGTACAGACACTTAATGATCTCAGCCATTGCCATGACCGCAGGCCAGAGACAGTGGCACGGAGGTGGTGCTCTTCCTCAGGCTGTGGAGCTGAACAACCTGCCTTTGATGGCCCGAGAAGACAAGAAGTGATCTCAAATGGGTGATCCAGCCCTACTGTGTGACTGGCAGAGCCGCAATGGCCAGTGTGGGCAGCCACACTTTGCACTCACCAGAAGCTCTTTATACTTTGGCCTTTTGGACTCGTCCTTTGTAAGGCTAAAGAAAGCAGAAAGAGAATTAGAACAAGCAAGCAGAATGCCATCCCAATGCTGCTGCCTCTGTACAGAAATGGGTTTGACTGCAGCATAACCACAAGTTTTGGGCAGCAGCAACTGGTCTGTCCTCCACCTGTGGGGCAGCAGGGCTCAGAGGCAGAGGAGAGCTGGGGCTGCCTGCCAGCGCACAGCCACCACACTATTGTCTCGGCACGTGTGGGCAGGGGCTGGGGCTGTACCAGACAGCAGTCAAACTGCTCTGCAGGGCCAGGTCCGGGCTCATCCCTGGCACTGTGGTAGCACATACAGTGCTGAGCAGGCCACGGTTGCTGCTGAAGGACAGAGGGGCCGGCTGGGGCATCCCCTCCTGAGCGGCTCCTCTGGTACCTCGACCACTCACCAGCCACCTGGCCCCAGTGCAGTGCAGGGGGAGGGCCGGTTGCAGCGAAGGCCACCAAAGCCCCTGCCGCACGGGGGACATGGCAGGGGACAGGAGAGGTGATGGGGTTCAGAGGCAGAGGGGCTGCAGGACAGGGCTCAGCAATGGGTGGCACTGGCAGCCCCTGCCCTGGGAGCCAGAGCTATTCCCGTAGCTATTCCCAGAGCTACGGGAATAGAAAGGGCAGATGTAGCATCTTTCCCAAATGAGGGGAGTTAAGTCTATTTTCCAACAGCTGCATTTCCATCTCCAGAGACTCTGGCTGGACCTTTTTCGAGCTCCAGCATTACTACAGTGTTGCCTTGAATTATGTGGAAAAGCAGAGGGTAATTAACGCATGTCCTGTGACCTGCCTGCAGACCTGCACAGGAGTAGAGAGGGCAGGAAATTCTGTGGCTGCTGCACAAATATCCTCACTTTAGGCTTTTGCTAGCCAATAGCAATTTATTTTCTGACCTCAGCAAGTCTAGGGGTTTTAATATACTCCTTGCAATGCCTTTAAGGCAACTAGTCAGAACTTCAGCTCACAGACTGAATTTTGCTCTGAAATTTCCATGCACATATTCATAGAGCAGTCCTAGAAATCTTTCATTTATTTTCCAGATCGACGTGAAGCTGCATCCGGAGTGGCCATTTACAGCACCGGTGCCGTACAGCTCCTTTGCAAGAACATCTGGTCTCCTCTCCAGGCTTGCCAAACCTCAGGAGCTCACAGCTCTGCCTCTGCATATGCCAGCACAAGGCTCCCAAAAACCAAACACAGAGCTTGGATACTTTGCACACTCTCGAGCAGAAAGCTGAATTGCTCTAAGCAGTTCCAGGAGGAGTGTGACTTCAGATAAGCATCTAACACAGGGAGGTGGGCTGAAGGGGAAAGATGTTCCACCCAGCTATTCACAGCACTGTTGAGATTGAAAAAAAAAAAAAGAATTCCCTGAAACTTTTTAACATTATCGAAAATATCCTTTCCTCACTGACCTATCATGGCAAGTAGGCAACATTGCAGGACTCTCTTTCACCATTTTTCCTGACTCTTGAATGCACATAACCAGAAGATTATTAGATTCACTTTTGTAGGGTAACACCCAGGAGATTTATGCCATCACTCAAAAGCACGGCCTTTTGGAGACTCATCTGCCTGCTTAGTAACACCAAAGATTACTTTTGCACTTTAATTAAAGTTTATTAGGAGAAATATTTGTTACAGTGTTGCTATGAATACCTCATAAATATTCCAGGCAGAAGTCAGATTATTTACAGAACTAGATTAAACAAAACCCAGAATCAGATTGAAACCTTCACCATTGCTCTATGCATCGTGGCTGTTCTAGAGCGGCAGGCCCTGGGAGGGGTAAATGGGCTGGAAATATGAATCGACCTAACTGGACCATGTGCCAAGGACACTGCTGTTCAGCTGAGATGCCATGGAGGCTCCTCCTCTGTTGGGTGATCTGGAGCCAAACTCACCAGTACACACAGGGCAGGAGAGCAAGCTCCCGGCTTTGCAAACTCTGTAATGATAGAGCATCTCTATGTAGAACTATGTGGGAAACAAACTATTGCTTGTACTGTACATGAGGAAAGAAACCTTGACTTTCTAACCAAATACTACACTGTTTTTGACTGAAAAATGGAAACTTCTTTTGAGCAGCAAACTGTTTTGATGCTCTATTTTCTGCAGCCCAAAGACTGCAGAATAACCAGGCCTTCCTTAGAGCCAGCTGGAAAGAGGAATGAACATGGCCTCCATAAAAATTATTAATTACACAGAATCCCAGAATGTTGGGGATTGGAA